TGATCCAGATTCGTGGATCGCTGCAGAAACGGTCCTGGTTTCCACGGTGACGGTGAAGGTGGAGCCTCCGTGCAGGAGATGCTGATCCCGGCCAGCAAGGTGGGGCTGGTGATTGGCCGAGGGGGCGACACCATCAAACAGCTGCAGGTAAGAACGTCTTCAGGTTTGCTTACGTGGAAACATGACTTTGTGCTCATTAGCTGTGTGAGTTCATGTTCAGCTGCTTTGAACCAAAATACAGAAGAGATGTTATTTCTCACCTCAGAACAGCTTTTAAATGGCTGGTTTTATGAATGGAGGCTGGTTAAATCTCTGATACATGGCGCCACCAGCAGAGCCCCTCCCCCTCTGCCTCTGATCGGCGTTGTTGTTGTTGTGGCTCAGGAGCGAGCAGGTGTGAAGATGATGATGATCCAAGACGGTCCGATGCCGACGGGGGCCGACAAACCTCTCCGCATCTCCGGAGACCCGTACAAAGTACAGGTGAGGGTCAGAGGTCACACGTCTTGTGTTGGTGTACATTCACTGATCACATCTGGACCGTGCTCCCAGCTGACCTCGTCTCTCTGCAGGCGGCGAGGGAGTTGGTGTTGGAGGTGATCCGGGAGAAGGACGGAGACTTCAGGTCGGGACGCAACGACTTCAGCGCCCGCCTGGGAGGCGCCAGCCTGGACGTACGACACGCACAATCAAGCGCACCACGTTTGCACCGTTGGCAGCCAGCGCGCCGAGCGCCCGTCCCGACCACTTTTTTAAAAGGTCCATTCATGTCTAGTCCGTCTCTCTGCAGGTTCCGGTTCCACGGTTTGCCGTCGGCATCGTGATCGGCAGGAACGGAGAAATGATCAAGAAGATCCAGAACGACGCCGGAGTCCGGATCCAGTTCAAAGCAGGTGGGTTCACATCAAATGATCCAGATTAAACTGATCAGACGGGTCCGTTGACACCAGTTTATCAACCAGATGAACCCACCTCGTTAAAGAGTTACGATGGAGACCCCGTTATGACCTTTGACCTCTATGTTAGATGATGGCATCAGTCCGGAGCGTGTCGCCATGGTGATGG